ATGGCCCCAGGGTATGGGTTCTGGTGTAAGGACGGGGCTCTACTATTAAAAAGTGAAAATATATTAACTGTTTGAAAATTTTTCTTTGCTCCTGGTTTTATGCCAATGATTCAAGTATATATATTTATGATGAAGAAATGTGCATCTAGCAAAATGGTTATTTTTTATGCCCCCCCCCCCCTTCCTGGGTCGGGGGTGGGGTTGGGGGGTACATAGTCTGAAAATAAATTAATGCTTTGAAATCTGCTCTTTGGTATTAATCAACCATTTTATGATAGAATTTGCAAAATTTTGAAATATGTGGCCCCAGGGTCAGTGGCTCCTTTGGGATGAGGTGCACAACTGGTTATAAAGTGTAAGTCCATTAAGTCAAGGATCATATCACAAACATGATTAAAATGTACGATATATTCATGAGCCATGTAGCATAGTGGTCAGCGTGTTAGTCTCAAAGCAGTGTGAAACGTAGGATTTTTATTGCTAGGGTTCGATTCCCACGAATATCATCTTATATTTTTATAAAAGAAAAGCATTCTGCCCGCCTTGTTCACCCATCTTCTTTAAATATTTTATAGCTTCTTTCATTCTCTGGTAAATGCCAGTGTCCATATTTAATTCCCGAGAAGAGACCTTATTCTAGGTCAGGTGAATACGTTCAGGCAATATTGATTTGACAAAATTACTTCTCCACATGAACTACATATCACATAATCTTGTCATTTAATTAAATATAAAATTTATTTAATTTGATAATACATAGAATATTGATTGGTCCAAGAATTCAAGGCCATAAAGAACATTTTGTTCTGACGTAGTTCCATTGAGAGATAGATAATCGTTTATCCACATGGGATGGGGGGGGGTGGGGTCAGAAAAAAAATCAACTGATCCCCACCCCCTTAATAAGAAAAGAAAACCTCTGACGAGCAAGATAGGTTCCAATTTAATTAACTACATTGTGTCTTGCACATAACTCTTTTTGGTTTGGTGAACTTCTACACCAGACAGTGACTATGGATAAACAAGAAATCCATGGGCCATATCACTTACCTGAGTAATAATGGTCCCAACCAATCTTTACTCAGACAATTGAACCACTAGGCACAAATTCCTGAAAAAATCGTTCGACATATACATGTACTCCAATTTCGGGTATTAACCTTGATGAGGGCAGTGGAGCCCTTCCCTGAGTTATGTCCATGACACGATGTAGTTACGATATCGACACATTACTTTTCTATAGTTTACTATAATATTTCTATATTCTTAAGTGTTTATTACAATACTTTCTGTTTTAAAAAGTTTTTTTTACTGTCAATATCCACGATATCGTGTCTATATCGAATCAGGATTGTTTAAAGAATTATGGTGTCAATCTATAATACTAGTATTTTGTTTTCAACTTTGCGTTACTTGAAAACTATCTTTTATAAAACTTTCCCTGATGTGTCGATATCGACGATGTCGCTTCGATATCGAATCTTGTTTGCTCAACCCTTCATAAATACCGTCCCTCATTATCTTAAATTATAGAAATAGTAGTATAACGTTTTGATATGGAAAACCTGAAATATATGTCCGATCAGAAAGTAAAAGAAATGGCAAAAAGTTCGTAAAAAATGCTCCTCGTTGTCATATTATTTATGTCCATTTTAATTTCTTAAACTACGTACATACAAAATAATGCTTTGTAATGCCAGCATTACACTGGATTTTATGAAGTAATGCATTACATTACCATTACATGTGTTGCAATTTTTTTTGTAATTACACATCACTAGCTTTACTTTGATTTCTTATAATGCATTAATTGCAATGCATTACCATTACAATATGCATTACCCCAAGTCTGGTCAGGACAAAAGTCTACGAACTTTTTTGAATGACCCTCGTAACAAAAAATATGTGAAAGTTTTATTAAATTTCATTCATAGGTATAATAGGAGTGTAATTCTATAATTTGGAGGAATAATATGCATCTCTTATCCACAAACACTTCTTATATTACTTAATAACATTCAATGATACTTTCAGTAATTCTTCTTTACATTGTGCACCTCCCATTTTTTTTTACTTTTTGATATTACACTTATTTTGGGTCTTTAAATGTGAAACATGGACATAATAATGATATGGGAGGCGATTTGGGAGACAGAAAGTATTATTTTGTGAGGTCAGTTCTCAAAGTTTCTCTAGTTTCATGTTTATTAAGCAGCCTAACTTTGATCCATAAGCTTGTATGCCAAACAGATAATTCGGTTAAATAAATAAAAGTACAAATTTATGTACTTTATTTTTTTTCCAGGTGACATTGAGAAATATCTCTTAGTCGACTATACCATCGAAAATGCAGAATTATTTAATCTGTTAAAGATTCAGTGTCTAAATGGAGTAGACATTGGGTTTAAGTATGTCAATAAATCAAGAGTTTAAGATACGAATAAAACAGCTATTTTCCACCAACGTGACGAAAAAGGTTGTACATTACTTCACTATGCTGCCCAAGGTGGATATATCTATTATAATATTCAAAGAAATTCTGAAGACTCCTAACATAAAGATCGGAATTAAATGCTTCCGTGGAACCTGGGTACTAGTATCCTTGTTGAAAATGAAGTACATGTACCTACAAATTTAATATATAAAAGATTTGAAAGTAAAAGAAATCATTTTCATTAGAGTTGAGAGCTCTTTTAAACTTATGAATTACAAATCAGCAAACGAAAAGTAATGTAAAGGATTTGTAAATACAAAATTATTATAATTTATCTGAGATTTATCTAAACATGCGTTTTATGTGTTTGAAATTCCATTCAACAATTTTACACTATGCATCTCTATTTCATGACATTCACAACGAACCTTACCTACTGATAATTTTTCAAGATATTCTTAATTTAAGAGTATAGTGTCATTAGATGTTCATAGACAACAAAAAAAAAACAAAAAAAAAAAACAAACAAACAAACAAAAAAAACAAAAAAAAAACAACAAAAACACAAAAAAAACAATATGCATTACCAGGGGTTTTGAAAAGATATCGCTTGAGGAATTTTTTTTTTGTTTAATTAAAAGAAAAATATGCAGAAATTACTAGACATAATTTATTTATTCTCAATGTTTTGTTTATCAAACTTTTTTTTTACATCCACTGAATATTTTCTCCTTTATTTCTTAAGAAAACCCATTGCGTTAATCACTGCATGAACTACATAAGGCATGTCGCCTGTACAAATTTCTTGATCAGTGGCTGTTCCATCAATGAAACGTACAAAGACGTTCGCATCATTAATACAATAATTAATCTTTATAATCCTACTTTAAATTATTGTTTAAACAAATATAAATATAAACAATAAAATGTCTTTCTTTGTTTGTTATTACTGGAATTAACGGTCGCAGCTATTGCAGAAAAAATTTACAAAACCCGCTTACGCAGATTAATACAGTACTCCTTCACCCTTATTTCACATTAATGTAACAAAAAGTATGAACGAGCACCAGGCAATCGGGAAAGAAATATAAGTTATCCCCCTCCCTTTACTCTAAATATAATTGTCCATCAAAGTTATTGGAGCTGTCATATTTCTCATAGTAGGTCATCGTTCGGTACAGTACTACGTATCACCGAAATTGCCCTGTTAAAGCGGCAATACGGCTGCAAATCGTGTGCTTTTTCATTCAAATTTACCCAATATATCATTCAGGAATAAGGTAAAAAGTTGAAGTTAGCATTAGAGAAAAATAAATATTCTCTCCTCATGTAAAATTAACGTAATTAAAATCTGCCGGAAAATCAAGGGTCGTACAACTTAGTTCTGTTTATTTGTACCACGTGAATTCTAAAATGGCACGTGCATACAATGTAAGGTTTACAATTATAATGGAATATTAAGTAAAAGCAATTCTGAGAATCAAAATATCTTAACTTTCCGGTAAATTAATAATAGTTAACATATTAGTCTGCATTCAGACAAATTTAACATGATTAAGTACAAATGTTGACGTTTTGTGTATTGGGGTGCAGGAAAGGAAAATCCACCAAATCATACGTCATCGCGGCAAAATGTCAAACAAAATATCTTTCTGCAGTTCCAATACAATTTGCACTTCAGATGGCAATAATTTTTATATTTCATAAGTGCATTTTTACGTTTAGTTTACACTGATTTTTTTTTCTTTGAAAGCCATGGAGATACGAGGAATGATAGCATGTATCAACAAATCTGTCGGGTAGAACCTTAGCGAGCCCCACGTGAATGTCGCGGAGATCCCGTTTCTCGTTCATCCAATGATTATATATTCATCTCCCAACTAAATTTTTGTCAGGAAAGTTGCTTTTTAATTTCAATTAAGCCCTATTTTTGGTTTTGTTTTTCGTTTTTGTTGACTTTGTCAATGTAGCAGGCCTACCGGGCTTCCCTCTCTTACCATGCTGTTTTGTTTATAAAAACTATACGCATGCGTGAATAGCATGGAATGTGGAACCTCGAACACGTTGCGATGTATATATATTTATGGGCCATAAATAATTATTAATTTTAATGAAATAATCAGAATTATTTACTTATGAAATTTGTAATTTTCTAAAAGTGTATACATTTATGAGTATGAAAAAAATTCCAAATCCTACAGGAAAATTTTAACAAGTCTGTTTTTGAAGAGATGCGTGATATTGCCACTTTAAATACGATCATTCAACAAAAATAGTTAGCCTTACTTTCTAATCTGTTCTTTATCTTTAAAGATAATTATTGTTTATTCATTCTAATAAAAGATAACCACATGCTTGCTAGAGTATGCAAGTCCGTAATTCTTAATTAAATTAGTGCACGTATGTTTCTCCATATATTTACATACCTAAGGCCTAGACTGGTACCCTGGCATTGGTTAACGGGCGCAAGCGCCCTAAAAAACCAAAATTCCTAGCGGCAGCGACTGGAATCAAGGGCAGAGAACCAGTGCTAACCTAAGGCCATAAACATAAGGGTCGGAAGGAAAAACCCCTACATAAACAAATACATGGGCGCAGACATTTTGGACACCCAAGGTTGTGCGGAGGAGAAAATGCTAGCTGGCGCGTGATTGGTCAATAAGAGAAAAGACTTGTTATGTATTTGACAAGTGAAATAAAGTTGATAAAAATCTGATATCAAGACTTGGGTTTCTTTGAGGTATATAGGAGTTACAGGTAAAAATTTGAAGGGAGGGATGCACTTTGGTTAGAGATTTTCATTTGGTGTCAAACGCACCTAGTTGTAAACAAATGGAAATTGAAAGTAAAAGTGCAACGGCACGGTATATTTTTTCTGGCATTTTTTGTTTTCCAATATCTCGAACTTTCACGACAAAAAGACCATTTTCCCGAAATTCAATATATGTATCAGTGAGAGGTGCTAAAGTTTGTATGGAAGTCTATGGGAAAACATTTGGTGGTGTTTGTCCTATAGAAAAGGTATGATTTCATGGATAAAAATTGATTACAGCCAAAAAATCAATCAGTTCCTATTTTTTCGGCATTGGGATTATATTTTAGTTAGTTTTGACTATTTGTTTAAAAATTAGAGGGTCTGGGTAAATTGGGGCTCACAATGGGGACTGCACATAGTGAAAAAATGCCAAAATTTGTGCCCTAGCTCTCATATTTTCAATAAATGAACATGTAAATAATTTTAAATAAATATTTATACCGAAATTTACTGTGAATATTGTAAATAATGCAATATCAATATTTATGGGCATCATCAATACACAAAACATATGAATATCCCCCTCGCAGTTTGAGAAATTCATTTAAATCCATGTATTTTATGAGTGTAGACATTGGAACAGATTGAGTAATCCTCTTTCAAATTTGTGTTAATCAGAGTTGATTGAATAATTTATAACAAAATTTGACTGCTGTTAGCTAATTAGGGTACTTTGTTTTTACATAAGGGGCATAATCCAGCAGAAAAGCCAGTTTCAGTCATGTAATCAGTGCTGGCTTGAAATAAGAGTTATACTATTGGTGAAACTTAGAGATTACTAGTAGGAAATTTAATTTAAATTACAGTACAATATATTCTTGCTGAAAATACATTGAAAATGCAATAAATATGCAAAATTATAACTGAAAAAATTATGAAAAAGGTGTCTGAATATCCCTCCTCCTTGCCATATCCAATCTTGATATTCTGCTGAAAGGGGGGGGGGTAATTTTGTGCTTTAATCATGCTGAAAAATGAAGGAATTTTGTTTAAATTTGGTTTATTTGAAAAACAAGAGTCATGCTTATCTGCAGTTATTTTTTCCCAATTTCTTTGATGTTTTTAAAAATAATTATCTGAGTAAATTCTATTTAACATGATTTTTTTAAAGGTATTACATCACAAATGCTTAAAAGAAATTCAAAAGATGGTGTAAATAATAAAAAATTAAGATAGAAGCTGCTATATGCATTTATCAGTATGTTTTAATAAAATAAAATGTATTTTAGCAATGCATTATCAAGAAGGAAGAGATTAATGAACCCTACCCTCTTAAAATGAACAAAACATGGACACTCTCGGGATGATCCTTTTGCTTTCATTAAGAGTTTCAAGGTATGGTTTTCTTAGAAAATCTAGTTAATCTCTTAATATTTAAGTTATTAAGAACTTTTTATAGATTATTAGAAGATAAATTTCCTCAGAACTGCAGTTATTTAAGCACTTTGCTTACAATTGAGCACTGTATTCAGTCAGACAATATGATTTATCTGCCCTTGGCATTTAATCAATTTATTAATTATGTCATTGATAAGAAATAATATGCTAATAAATATATTTGCCTTTTATGAGAATATACATATTTGACATCAATTACATGAAATGATCATGAAAATTGGCTAAAATGTAGGTCACCCCCCTTCAAAATTACAAAATTTTCAATGGGGATGTATTTGATTCTCTGATGCCAGCAACCCACTGCTGATAGATTTTTTTTAAATCTTATGTACATTTGAACTAGATATAATTCTCTTTCTTTCCACTGATTATTTTATCTACATTAGTTTTCACTCTTTCCATAACCCAGCTTTTTCTTACAAAAACCTGCTGATTTTCTTCATTTTTCATTAATAACGGGTACCTGCTACCCTGAATGATTAACATGATCTACCTTCAGAAATTATTAGAGATAATAAGAAAAACAAGCAAAACATAAGCGAAATTAATCATTTTATTTTAAAAGTTTGAAAGAAAAATAGAGAAATGCTTCAATTTATAGACATTTTTTTCTGTTTCACAGATGTGGGTCTGATTGACTGGGGTGTGAAATGTAACAGCCAATGGTGTACTTAAGCTAAGACTGTCAGTCCCAATATTCAAGAGGTGAGATAAGCAATGGATATGTGTTCTAAATTTACTAAATTGACCACTTTTTATAAATGTTTCTTTTACTCTATAGGAAAAACCCCTACATAAACAAATACATGGGCGCAGACATTTTGGACACCCAAGGTTGTGCGGAGGAGAAAATGCTAGCTGGCGCGTGATTGGTCAATAAGAGAAAAGACTTGTTATGTATTTGACAAGTGAAATAAAGTTGATAAAAATCTGATATCAAGACTTGGGTTTCTTTGAGGTATATAGGAGTTACAGGTAAAAATTTGAAGGGAGGGATGCACTTTGGTTAGAGATTTTCATTTGGTGTCAAACGCACCTAGTTGTAAACAAATGGAAATTGAAAGTAAAAGTGCAACGGCACGGTATATTTTTTCTGGCATTTTTTGTTTTCCAATATCTCGAACTTTCACGACAAAAAGACCATTTTCCCGAAATTCAATATATGTATCAGTGAGAGGTGCTAAAGTTTGTATGGAAGTCTATGGGAAAACATTTGGTGGTGTTTGTCCGGAAAGTCTCGTTTACTTTCACTTTCGTTTTATAACTTCCGGGCAGCTCAGCGTTCTTGGAGACTATGGATTACCGCTTCGCATTAGGTTTTAAGCCTCGCAGCGGACTTGGAAAGTCTGTCATGTCGTTTGTTGCCCGATTATTGAAAAGAAGAGGGGAAAGTGGATTGAGTTAAACAGGTAAACAGCCATTAATTGCTTTTTTGTTTTAAAAAGTGACGTACATACAAGCTATCCGGAATGGGGCACGATTAGCGATTATTTTAAAGCATAACAGGAAAATTAAAATAGTTTTTAAGCTGAAATAGCGTGTTTTCAAACTAAAAAGTTTCCAAAAGATTGGTTCCATTACTTTATTCCATTGATTTAGCTCACGGGACAATAGAATCAGGTTGGGATTGGGATATAGTGTGCAAAGTCATTAAAAACAAATGGAAAATACATGTACATAATTTTATACATGTATCAAAATGCATCGATCACGAGGAAAAGGGTTGATAACTACATTTAAACATGATCCTGATTGAAATAAAATTCGTTATTTATTTTATTAATAAAATTATGCATATACCATTACAGTAGATATAAAGTAGATGAGCTGATTACATGTATGTACTCTATCCTGTTGATCCAGAAATAAGAATGTCAATCATTAATTCTTGCATGTACACAGGCATGTATATTTTCAATATTAAATGTAACTGCAAATCTTCATTAACCCTTCCAAAATGCTCTTAAATTATGAGAAGGCATTTTTTCCCACAAAATATAGGAATTAGCAGCAGGGGAACTAGGAATTTCATAACGGGGGTTGGGGGTGCAGTAGTAGGTAAAGGGATTTGGTGGCTGCATGGAAGGGAAAAGGCTTGGCGGGAATGCAAGGGCAAAGCCCTCATAAAATTGAGGAAATTCCAACGCCTGGCGTTATCCCTTTCATTCAAAAAATTCAAAGGGGTAGGGGGCACATGCCTGTCGCGTTTGTCCTGGATCTGCCTTTGATTAGATATTGAAAATTTTCTCATTTGTTGTACACGTAGTACAACAATTTAACTGTGTCTACTAACAGGCCGTTACTGGGACCATAGGATATTCATCATTCAACAATAGAACATTTTTTCTATTCTATATATTTTCAATTCCTGTTACAGGGCTCCAGAAGGTACTAGAAAAGGACAATGCTTCGACTGAATGTGTCATCCATGTACCATTATCTGTTAATGGGGTTTATCTCTTAGTTTTCTTATATAAAAACTTCCAAGTAATTGATGATGGAATTCATTTTAAATCAGGTACAGAGTAAATTTTTGGGCTGCACTTTTCTTTACTTCAATATTTAAATCTTACTAGTTCAGTATCAAGTTCACAAAAGCTCACATAACATGGCAAATCAAGGGACTATATACCTTAAATGCTAGTTCAATTTGTCATATATATACTTTCTTAATAAAAATAAATCTGTAAATAACATTTGTGAACAAGTACTTTTCTCCTCTGTGTGCCTTACATTCATTCCAACGACCGAAATGCATTCGACATTTAAGTTCTGCATAAAAATTGCTAACTGTGCTGTATGTTTGCACATTTGTTTCAATGAATAACCTTTTCTTAAAAATTCTTCAGTATAACAAGACCAATATTGCATGCTTATTTTAATACACTATAAATACACTTCAGAACAAATTTAAGGAAGTCATGGTTTAATTTGTATATTTGGTAGTTACAATTACATGTGTATTTAGTTTTCTTTATAAAGGATGTACACAGGCATATTAAATTTATACAGTAAAATTCATTTAGTAGAACACAGATACATGCATTGCGTATTCACATATATATCTAAGTTATTTTGTATCTCATGCTATATAAATTTAAACTAGAAATATGTCCATAGGACATGAATGCCCCGCCGAGGATATATTAGTAAAGCAACATGAAAATTTGTATGTATATAAAATTTGATATGAATATCCTGAATAGTGATGCAGCTGAATTGCTTGTTTGGAAAATATAGGTCAGATCCAGCATCCGAAGCAAGTCTGGTAGTGTCCATCCCTAGATGCATCATCCATGCAAGTTTGTTTCAGGTAGGGCTTATAGTTACTTGGGAATGAAAATATAGGTCAGATCCAGCATCCGAAGCAAGTCTGGTAGTGTCCATCCCTAGATGCATCATCCATGCAAGTTTGGTCCAAGTAGGGTTTATAGTTCCTTGGGAATGGACCTGCTCCAAAAACTTTAATTTTGTCACTCGTCTGGAAAATATAGATCAGATCCAGCATCCGAAGCAAGCCTGGTAGTGTCCATCCCTAGATGCATCATCCATGCAAGTTTGGTCCAAGTAGGGCTTATAGTTCCTTAGGAATGGACCTGCTCCAAAAACTTTAACCTGGTCACTCATCTGGAAAATGTAGGTCAGATCCAGCATCCGAAGCAAGTCTGGTAGTGTTCATCCCTAGAGGAACAATAGCTCTCATCAATATCTATCAGCATATGAAGTTTGATGAAAATATCTTGGATAGTTTCTTTGAAACTTAGCTCTGAACAGAGCTAAACGCAAATTGTGACGGAAGGACAGAAGGACGGAAGACGGACATGACAAACACTATATGCCCCGGCCATATTCATGGCGGGGCATAAAAATCTTTTAAAGGTTATAACAAATTATGAATTTAGCAAAGTAATTTCATAAGCCTCAGTGACTTTTCTATAACCAAGTTTTACTGCATCATTGTTAATGCTAAAATTCAAGAAAGTATTCACTTTTTTCTTGTACACATGTAGTTGATCACTTACACCTGATGTTTTTCCAGGTTCTCTTGAAAAGTGTTTCATTTTGCAGTTTGCACCATTCTGCTACAAATACCTGGTACTTTGCTGATGGAACAGACACCAATCAACCGCTCACTACACTGATAATTCATTATAAATTGTAGGAGAATTTCCTTTGGGACAAACAAACTGTTTCAACATTTTTCATATACAAGTTGATACTGATGAAATTTTGTTTGAATTAAAGGATAATGAGTACTAAAAGTACAAGCTAGGTGAAATACAAAAGGATTGATACAAGTCATTTAAAATTTTCATTTCTTTGCAGGTAGCGAAGAGTGCACTGAAAGTATTCTCAGGATCTCATCCGACATCATAGGTACAACTGGTCACTGTGCTTTCTTGGTTATGTAAGCAGGCTTATTGTGAAGGCTGAGATTTACGTAGCTCCAATTCCAAATGATGCTTGACTGTTTTCCATCATATCGATATCTGATGCAGTAATATAGAGCCATGTCATGTTTTAAATAACATCTTCCCACTGTCACAGAGTACTGAAATAAAATCGATTTTGATTTAATATATACAAATTATATTTTTTTGTTTTCATGGTATGTAACATAAAATTCTACAGGAATTCAAATAAATTACCAATTATTATTAAATGTACATCTTCTGAAGATGAAGGTTTTGCTTTGTTCGATCCTTTGCTGATAGGGCTACTTACCTTTAATAATGTCATGACAGGATAGGTACATGGCGGGTCTTCATGCTCGATAAGTTCTCGATCAAAACATCCAATGCAAGATGTGCAGACAATAACCTGTAATTAAGCAAGCTTCTGTTACATGTCATTTGAATTTAGGTCATTTTGCACAGTTGTATGCACACCTGATAATAATTAGGTGCCTGAGAAATAATGAGTTGCTGGTGAAAATCTGGCAAATATCTATTTATTTGACACAAATCAGAATCCTCTTCATTAAATTTCGTCTATCATTTTAGAAGAAAATCAGAATAAAAATTGTACTTTTTAAACACACGGACAAAATGTTTTCATTTAAAATTTCTGGTATAAAAATTGTGCATTTGTTATATCTTCATATTTAGAGTGCCCCTACCGAGGATAACGATAAAAAAATTGTTTGATGTACTCCGACAGACCTGTCAACATCATCCCTACCCATTAGAATAATTTTTTTCAGCACTTCAATTTTTTATCCCCTCCCCCTAATTTCCATAGATGTTTTAAAGCGAAGGTATAATTTTTTCGTAATGTTTGTGATTTTTTAATATAACACTTATCAATTCGTTCAATACTGTAATGCCAAAAGAATTACATACCAACCAACCTTGATAAAAAGTGGGTTGGAGTACTTCAAATAAGAATATTTTAAATAAGGCCAAAATAAAATTATAGTTTGCTTGGAATTGCCTCCCGCCTCATGGAAATGCCCCCTCCTGAAAAAAATTTATTGACCAAAAGTAGGAAGATTTTTTTTTTTATTTAATCAATTTTTTTGCCCATTACATGTATCACATACACCATACAAAAAACTGAAATATTGTCAGATCTATGTAAAATAAGTCTTTTTGTTGATGGTAGATACTTTTTTTTAAAGTCAGAAAATATATTTACTGTTTACTGAGATTTTTATCAAAAATTTAAAATTTATCTTCAATTAAAAAAAAAATAATTTCCCTCCCTCCCTCCTGTACCTGAAACCCTTCAGGCGGCAATTCCAAACAAACAATTTTTTAAGGATGGCCTAATGGCCAATGTTGACTATTATATTTGTTATTTTAAAAAAAAATTCCATATATCATACGTAATATGAAATTATACATTTAATCTGGCTGTTTCACCCAATTTTAATACTAGTGAGGTGAGATGACAGTACAGATGAATTATGGGTAAATGTCTAAAACCGTGGGGGTTGAGGGTAAAGCATCAATGGACAACAACAGACCATTTTGTCATTCTATCCATGTATAGAACTCACCACCTTAGTGTGGACTTTCAGTAAGACATGGCATATTCTTGACGTTACCTAATTGTATACCCATTATGTAGCCCAAAGAAGGTTCCATATTTGTTTGCCCGATTTCTTGATCGCCCAGATTCCGCTCGCCCTAAAACTTGTTCACACAGGGTCCGTTCAACATAATTTAATGTAGAATAAAATCTTATAAATTTCTTTCCTAATTTTTGTACATTCAAAATAAAACAGACCGTCACTGTGTCCGTCAGACGTTATACATGTGCATGGTCATCGGTCACACCTATAAACAGCTCAGTCCTTCAATTGTTTTCAAAACAAAACATAGCACAAATCAGAGAAATAATACGGATGTATCCCCCTAATTCACATCAATATTAATCATCTAATTAACTATAGTGCAAACACTTAGTTATGTAATTAATTTATTGCTCTTCGATCGTATCAGAATTTGAGAAAAAAAATTCAAGTTCGTAAGGGAAATAAATAGAAAAAAATGATAAACTTGTATGTTAATTTTTAATTCATATATATAAAAGTATATATAAGCATTAGGCGAACCTCATATAGGGCGAACAAGATATTGGGCGAAAAATATTTCAGGCGAAAGGATTCTGTGCTAATGAACTCTGGCGAACGAACCCATTACCCCCCCAGAGAATGCCACGCCCTACTGAAAGTCCAAACTAAGGTGAAAATCGTCATATGCCCTAGACACAGGCCTTTAGATTGCTTAGAAAAAAAATTGAGGTGTTGAAAAAAAAATAAAGGTATGGAACTCTTTTCATGGGGTACCTACTTTCGCCAATAAAATTCTTTTAAATCGAATGCTTTATAATTTTACTTTCTATCCATATCTATTCAAATATAAACAATCTCCATTACTACCAAAGTTCATTCCGTAATTCCTTATACTTCTCGAGATATTCTGAAATCAATTCCCAAATTGACCTTATTTTTTTTACTCGACATCAGCTTGGGCCCTCACTAATTGTAAAGCGGAAACGACGGGACAAATTTTCCCCGGAATTAATTCTAAACTCAATGAATATTTGCTCATTTCCATTCGAGCTTTACAAGTTTTTTCTTTAATTTGATCATATGGTGTAACTAAGTCACAAACAACATTTTAGCAGTCTAATTGATTTGAAAATCGAAAGGTATATAATGCATTCCGGGAAAAATTCGTTCTACCATGGCTTCATTTACTTTCATAATCAACATGGCGGTAGTTGTTGATGTAGACGTTTTCAAATAATTTTTTCCCGAAAGGAATATTATTACGGACTTAACGTTACAATCTTGCGTAAGAAATCAACTTTAAATTGTTGAAAGATTTTGCAAATACTATGCAACTCTTCGCCGCACTTCAAACACCGTCTGTTTACATGTGAATGACCAGGGGCCCAAGCTAATGTCGAGTAACAGAAAGTAGGTCATTTTTGCAATTGATTTCAGAATATCTCAATAAATATACGGAATTTCGGAATGAGCTTTGGTAGAATTAAAGAATGTTTATCTATGAATAGATTTAAATAGAAAGTAGAATTTTAGAGCATTAGAATAAAAAATATTTTATTAGCGAAATTAGGTACCCAGTGTAAGAGTTCAGTACCTTTATTTTTTTTTTTACACACACAAATTTTTTTAAGCGATCCAAAAGCCTGTGGCCCTAGAACTTATTTTGTTGCATCAATTTCATACCTGTATTTGATTTGCATTTTGAAGAATGTTGATCAACGTCTTAGACACTGCTTTAAGCAACTGCATCTTTTAGCTGTGTTCCTCAACCATGTTCTCTTGTACTTCTGCTATAGAATAAGTTTTAATGTAATTATATGTAACTAAGATCAAGGAATGAATTGAACAGACAGAAATTAAACCAATTGCCCACACCATGTTCAGGGAACACATGCTTTTTAATTAAGAAATTTGGTTTTGTAAAAATTGTTATTGTAGTGATATGAATTTTGTTAAACAGCTGTTAAATGTTGAATACAGAGAACTAGCAAAATATGTAAACATCTAGTCCTTGGAAAATAAATGTCCACAAATATTCAATTCTCGATCCACTGATATACAACAGGTAAAACTGAAAAAACGTATTTTTAATAAATTATTTACCCAAACAAAAGTGATGCAGCCACAGTATATGATGCTGGTACCCATCGGACACTGACAAAACTCCTCCTCTACAAGTACAATCAGCTGATAATAACATTATCGTCCTCTGATTTAAAAAAAAATCTGTTAACAGATTAATTGAATAGATGATTGGGAAACTTTTTCATTCGGGTATGACATAAAACACTTCTGTTTCGCTCAAAATTAATAAACACGAAACAGATGACATTATCTGACTTGTTTACCTGTACTTTGATCGAAATTTTCCTCGTTGACACTCGCACCCAAGCTTTTATGGCACACAATTCACCCATCGTAAGTCGGAGAACCCTTCTGCTTTGTAAAACTTCTTAACTTTTTCTCAGAAACATGCTTAAATCAATATGTACACAACTCTGAGAGCTGCCCGGAAGTGAAAATTATCGTAAAATCTCGCGAGTCACGTGACGAGACTTTCAGACCCTTAAAGAAGCTATTCAGTATTCTGCAAAGTGGAAGGGGGCTGGAATGTCATACTTCTACTGTGTGCAGTCACATGTAAGTATTTGTATGTAATTTATTTACGCAACAAATAGTTTAGTGTACAGTAATTTAATCTATATATGCATAAATTACATGCTTAAATTTAGTCAAGGGTTTCCAGGTGTGTGCAACTGTGTCAATCTGTCATGCGCCATGATCGATTGTTTAGGCTTTAAAACGAAACAAGACTGATTTTAACTTAAATCATTTTTGATATAAGAATATAGTAAGTTTTCGAAGGCGACAGAAAATTTGAGAATATTCTAACTAAACGTATGGTTAATGTACGTCGAATTTCTTTTTTGTCTTGTCTTTTTTCATTTACATGCGCATGACCTAGTTCTAGACCTTTGTTATGGGCAGCGGAAAGGGCAAAAATTACAATAATAAGAAAACAAACAATTATTTTATTTCAATAACCATAAAAACTTAACAAATGATATACAAGGCATAATCAACAGACCTTTTCACAGAACAAATATACATAAACGCAAAACCAACGAACCCGTTCGTAACAAACATATATAAATGCAAAACCAACGATCATCTTTGCAGTACAAACGTACATAAAAACACGACAATCGAAAAAAACTTAACAAACGTGCACGCGGTAAATCTAGTCTTCCCAGCTCCCGACGGTCCCATTTTTTCCCCGCGATTTCTCTTTTGTCGGCGCACAGAAATTCTTCACACTTCTCAGGCACATTTCTAGGTTTAAAAAAATTCAACTTTAACAAAGAAGATGGGCGCATTTGGCGAGTAATCTGCAGGAATCATTTGTACGAAACATTTATGGTTTAAATGTCCATGATTTGGTTGGCTGAACATAGCTGGTCAGATTCTTCAAGCACGTCCATAGGTTTTTTTTCCATTTAGTTTGATAGACCGTGTGAAATTGTAACATTTATGTCCATTTTTCCTGGGGTACTGTAACATATTAATGTTCCACAAAAAATAAACACCTAAAATATTTAATGCATAGATGCATCATACATGTACATTATAGAATAGAAGATTAGATTCTGAATTGATTTCGCTCGAGAACCAAACTGAACCAAAATTTATCTAATTCAACATTTTAATACATAATTACATAAAATGAAACTGACAAAATAAATGGTTGTTTGCATGAAAAAAAAAAATTAACGCCCCATGCCAGACTCGAACCAAAAACTTTTCGCTTCGAGTGCAGTGAACAGGTAACCCAACTTACTGAGCTATCACCGCTACACATATACCGATAATTTTAAAAGGACAAAGAAGCACCACATTCACACATTTGGATTTTTTGGGAAAAGTTAATTTTTCGTGGTCTCTGGGTCTTCTCTCCATTTTTTAAAAAAGTGTATTCGTTTCTTTAAATTTAAATACACACGAATAACGTTTCAAAATCGTGGAGAGAAGACCCAAAGATAGAATTTTTTTTTTAAATTATTTAAAAATGTTCCATTTTGTACCAAATGTCTGAACTGGCCAATTTTCAAGTTATTTTTTAGCTCAAAGCTAAATTTCGGGAAAAATATTATCCTTCCTGTTGCACAGGAACCCGATAAATAAAAAAAATGTTAAAATTTCATGTGACATGTCGATAAAATTTTCACTTTTCAAGTACGCCCAGATTCCTGCCGAATGCCCATCAAAAGCGCCCACGTTCTTTGCATATTTATTACTGAATCAGCAGTATCATCTGCCAAAAGCGGTAAATCTCGTACCCAGCTATAAATGCGAAAAACACTGAAAAAAGGACACAAATGTTTTCGTAGAATCGCGATTAAAAACAACAAACTGAGGTACAGTTTATATTTTTTAATAAATGAAAACCCTCATTTACATGCTAGATAATTTGTGTGCACAGAAACTCCCCCACACATTTTTAGCTCACCTGAGCCGAAGGTTCAAGTGAGCTTTTCTGATCACATTTTGTCCGGCGCCTGTCTGTCTAGCTGTCTGTCCGTCTGTCTGTCTGTCTGTAAACTTTTCACATTTTCGACTTCTTCTCAAGAACCGCTGGGCCAATTGCGATTAAACTTTCCACAAAGCATCCTTGGGTAAAGGGGATTCAAGTTTGTTCAAATGAAGGGCCGAATCATTATTCAAGGGGAGATAATTGGGAATTAATAAAAAATTGGTTGCATGTTTTAAAAATCTTCTTCTAAAGAACCACTGTGCCAGAAAAGCTGAAACTTATGTGGAAGCATCCTCAGGTAGTGTAGATTTAAGTTTGTTCATATCATGACCCCCAGGGGTAGGGCGGGGCCAAAATGGCCGACCAAAGTTTTACATAGAACTATATAGGAAAATTCTTTAAAAAATATTCTTCTCAAGAATGACAAAGCCATATTTCATTATTTTTATATGGAAGCATCCCCAGGTAGTGTAGATTCTAGTTTTTTTCAAATTATGACCCCTGTGGGTAGGGCGGTGCCAAAATGGCCGACAATAGTTTTACACAGAAAAATATAGGAAACTTCTTTAAAAATCTTCTGCTAAAGAATGACAAAGCCATAATTCATCATATTTATATGGAAGCATCCTTAAGTAGTGCAGATTCAACTTTGTTCAAATCATATGACCCCCGTGGGTAGGGCGGGGCCAAAATGGCCGACCATAGTTTTACATAGAAATATATAGGAAAATTCTTTAAAAATCTTCTTCTCAAGAATAGTAAAGCCATAATTGATCATATTCATATGGAAGTATCCTCAGGTAGTGTAGATTCAAGTTTGTTCGAATCATGACCCCTGGAGCTAGGGGGGGGGGGGGGCAAAATGACCTACCAAAGTTTTACATAGAAATATAAATTGGAAAATTCTTTAAAAATCGTCTGCTAAAGAATGACAAAGCTATAATTCATCATATTTATATGGAAGCATCCTCAGGTGGTGTAGATTCACGTTTATTCAAATCATGACCCCTGTGGGTAGGGCAGGGCCAAAATGGCCGACAATAGTTTTACAAATAAATATATAGGAAAATTCTTTAAAAATCTTGTTCTCAAGAATGACAAAGCTATAATTCATCATATTTATATGGAAGCATCATCAGGTAGTGTAGATTCTAGTTTTTAGCTCTTCTGAGCCAAAGGCTCAAAGAGCTAATGCTGTGGCCATTTGTGCGGTGTGCGTCGTGCGGTGTGCGTTAACTTTTTAGAAAATGGGCCATAACTCAAGAACCCCTTGGCCAATAAGTGTCAAATTTGTCACAGGGTATCCTTGGCCTAAGGGCTACCTTATATACTAAAATAAGGGTTGGGACCCTTAAACAAGGGGAGATAATCAAGAAAACAAAACCAAAAGTACTGGTTGCTAAAAAATCTTCTTCTCCAGAACCACCAGGCAGATTTTCACCAAACTAACATGCAAGGATCTGAGGATATGTTGAAGATTAAAAATTGTTCAAGGCATGACCCTGGGGCAAAGGGCGTGGTCTCAAGGTCACTTCAAAGTTACCTAAATTTACAAATAATAAAAATGTTTATATTTTGCTTACTATTAGGACTAGGATCATCAAATCTTGTAAGTTGATGCATCTCAGGACATCACATCATGTTAACTCAAAAGTAGGTCACGGTGACCTACTTTTTAAATTTTGTAAGCATTTGTTTTCAAATTGATTTCAAGGCATATTTCAGGCATTTTAAGGCGTATGATCATCAAACTTTGTCAATTGATGCATCTTGGGTCCTTGAACAACGTAAGCTTAACAGTAGGTCACCGTGACCTACTTTTTGAACTTTATGACTAGTTCTTTTTAAAACATTTAATCCAATTATTTCAGACACTGAGAGGTTTAGAATCATCAAATCTTGTAAATTGATGCATCTTGGGACCTTAAAACATATTTATGAAAAAGTAGGTCACTGTGACCTACTTTTTGAATTTTGCAGGCATTTGTTTATGAATTGTTTAAAAGGCATATTTTGATTACCTTCAGATCTAGGATTATCAAACTTGGTCAGGAGATGCGTCTTGTGACTTTAAAAAATGTCGACCAAAATAAAGGTCACGGTGACCTACTTTAAACATTTTATGGCTATATTTTAGTATCTTAGGAATTTATTGGCTTAGAATCATCAAACTTTGTGAGTTGATGCGTCTTAGGTTTTCGGAGAGTGACGACCAAAAAGTAGGTCACGGTGACCTACTTTTGACATTTTATGGCTTTATTTAAGTATCTACGGTACTTATTGGCTTAGAATCATCAAACTTTGTAAGTTGATGAATCTTGGGTTTTCGGAGAATGATGTCCAAAAAGTAGGTCACTGTGACCTACTTTCGACATTTTAAAGCTATATTTTAGTATCTTAGGTATTTATTGGCTTAGAATTATCAAACTTTGTGAGTTGATGCATCTTGGGTTTTCGGAGAGTGACGACCAAAAAGTAGGTCACGGTGACCTACTTTTGACATTTTATGGCTTTATTTAAGTATATATGATACTAATTGGCTTAGAATCATCAAACTTTGTAAGTTGCTGCATCTTGGGTTTTCGGAGAATGATGTCCAAAAAGTAGGTCACGGTGACCTACTTTCGACATTTTATGGCTTTATTTAAGTATCTTAGGTATTTATTGGCTTAGAATCATCAAACTTTGTGAGTTGATGCGTCTTAGGTTTTCGGAGAGTGACGACCAAAAAGTAGGTCACGGTGACTTACTTTAAACATTTTATGGCTTTATTTAAGTATCTCTATGGTACTTATTGGCTTAGAATCATCAAACTTTGTAAGTTGATGCATCTTGGGTTTTCGGAGAATGATGTCCAAAAAGTAGGTCACGGTGACCTAATTTTTGACATTTAAGGCTTTATTTAAGTATCTACGGTACTAACTGGTTT